TAATCAATTTTACGAGTTAATGAAAGATGGGGAAGAAGATGGAGTCGCTGTTGATCGAGACGAGTACGAAAATCTCGTTTTCCGAGGTAGTGATGGTTTTCTCGCTCTTAATGCCCTTTAATCTCTAGTTCTTACTACCTCTCTCTCTGATAGTTTTAGGGTAATTTGCCCATTTTTGGAGAACTCATTTGGCCAAGTGTTTTTAATTTAAAAATAAAAAATTAAGAATCAAATCTTAAAAGTTGGAAAATAATCATTTTCATATTGAACATTCTTATTAAAACGAGTCTTCCAAATTCATGTCAATCTTCTTAGATGTTAATGCCAGTCTAAAATTATTTTGGGTTCTTATTCTATTTTTTTTTTTATAGAATAAGAAAATTAGGTTCTTATTCTATTCTTTTTATAGATTGTTCCAAATTTTTCTATAGGTGATCCGGAATATTATTATTGCCCCTGTCATCTAAATAAATACCAACCGAAATTCTTATTCTTATTTTATTAAATTACGAACCAAATCAGTTCAATAACAAATTAAATTCACAACACATTGGGAGTAATGTTTATTAATAATATAAATCATTATTTCTCTTTTTATCTAATTCATATCCTGTAATCTTCTTACAAAAGATTTGATGTGATCAAACATTTTAACCCCAAATTAACCCAAAAATTTGACTTCACAAAGTTTAAAAATAATGTTAAAAAGTGAAAAGTATTACATAAAAAAAAGAGTGATTGGGAAATTTACTTCCTCCGTCTTAAAAAAACTTCTTACACAAACTTACGCCATATAATTTTACTTTTATATAAACTTCGTGAAAAAAGCAAAGGAGAATTTTTTTTAAGGGGCGGAGGAATTAGAACACAAATGAGTTAAAGGGAGGGTATACCAGTCAATCTTCAGAATACACACAGCAAATATGCATGCATTCGCATTTGCTTTCGGATGTTACGTAGGTTTCTCGTAACTGTTTGAATCTCTGAAGTCCGAAACGGCACTGCGAATCATCCCCCCTACATCTGACCGGACAAACAGATGCGTGTCGTCCAAGATGTGTAGTATGAACTTCTGTGATTGAGGCAAAGACTTGTTCATGTTGATTATGAACTGTGCCATGGGGATGTCACTGCATATGGAAGATATGTAATATAAATGTCATTAATATTATTAGGATTGGAAGGGATGGCGTTTCAATAGAAAAGGTCATTTAGAACACAAAAATGTATACATGCACTCATAAAAAAGGTGAGATTTTGGAGGCATTTGGCTTTGATTTTGAAAAGCGGATTCTGTTGATTTGCATCTCAGAAATAGCCGAGCGTTGCATTTTGCTTTGGATTCTGAAAAGAATCACTTGCTATTCAGTAGTTGCTAATTCAACTTACAGAATCCGATTTTCAACAGTTATCAACTGCTTGATTTCCCAGAATCAGCTCATTTTCGGTACAAAATCGGTCAAAAGAGATTTGAATCCAAATGAAGCCTTGGCCCAAAGCTCTTTTTCTCCAATGAGGGACCGGGGTGAAACCTCACGGCCAAAACTCAGAGAAATATAGAGATTTAGCCCATGAGGCAAAGAATGCAAAAAACCCTCATTTTTATCCAACAACTTATGAACCGCGATTTGCACCTTTTCCACTTGTGGGTAGATTGCACAACTGTGATTTTTTGCAACTAGCTTTTACACGGTCACTTACGTGGCCAATAACAAGACCAAAAATTGAGCAGCTAAGTGTCAAAAGGACTGAACGTTACAACAAATTCACAGTCGTGCAATAAAAGTAGGGAAAATACAAGTTAAAGGCAAAGAGCAAATATGGGATTAAAGGGAAAGCTTTCAAACAGAAAATTAGATGCAAGACTCTATTCTCTGCAGTTGCTTGCATACAAAAAGGCACAAGAAAATAAGTACACTTGTGAGGGGGCAAAAAGAAAATAGGAGGGTTCAAAACAAGCTCAAGAGAACTGGTTTATGTACCATGAATGGCTTAATAAATTCATTAATGGAAACAGAAATATCTGCAACCATGGGAGGCATAGATACAGAGTACTTTTGAAATTTCCCAGGAAGAAAATAACGTATCATGACAAGAAAATCCCTTTGATCATAATAAAGCTCACTAGGTAGAGAGGCATTTTACCATGTAATGAACAACCCTTTGACGGCACTCACCATATCTTTGCACTTTGCTGCAATACAACCCAATATTAATAAAATAAAAACAATGTCGTTAAAATTTATTAAGAAAGTGATGAAAGAACATGAACAATATATTTTTTATTTAAAAAGGGGGAAAGAAGATACGGAGTATATTATTTAGGGAGAATCCAAAGATGTTTGAGTAAAAAATGATGAAAAAAAGACAAAGTATAAAAGATTAGACTCATTAAAGTAAAAGCTAAGGGTGAGACTGAGCCAGGATGCGCGAGTTTTTTTGTTGGGGCCGGAAAAAAGCCCGGAAGTGCTTGGGTTTTATAATTTTGGGACGAGGTGAAGGCCCAATATCTTCAGGCCAGTTCTAGTTTTGAATTTACTCCCACCCTTTCAACAAAAACACTTCCAATTTTTACTTTTGGAAAAAATAAGGAGTGTATATTTTGTAGTTAACTTTCCAATTTTGCCATTGAATGTGATGGATAAAAGTAGGATATGATAGATAGTTAATAGTGAATAGATATGATAGATGGTTAATAGTGATCAATTATTATAAATGCCTATGATTTTAATCGTAAACAATAAAATATATTTTGGAACAAAGAAACATACAATAATGTTCAAACACAAGTATATTTTGAGTTTAGGCCGAGTCACTTATTGAGCTTCGAGTCGGGTTATCCCGCTCCTAGTAAAAGTATGAATACTCTTCATTTTTAAAAATAAGAAGAAAAAAAGCATTTTTAACCATAAAACTACTAAGTCATTTCCATCATTGCAAAACTGTCAGAGGTTGATCTTGAAATTTCAAGGCATGAGGTCCCAAGTACTTCCAGATTAATTTATTTGTATCCATACTTTGTAACAAAAAATTCTAAAAAGCAATGTATATGCTAGTCAAATGTTATGATAATCATTCATGAATAAAATTACATATAAGTAATGCATCCTACAATTGTACTCTTCCGACTTTCATATTTTGAAAGTCATATAATATTATATAATCACTAAGGGTAGAAAATGCATCTCTCTCAACACGTGCCGCTGCTACTTACTCGGAGTATATCAAATATAACTTCAAGAGTGTACTCATAAGTATATCTCCCAAAATCATACATTATACTCCATTAAACTCTTTTGGCCATAAATCAGCTACTTTGAGTAAAAATTTCTTGTCTAAAATTTCAAACGGGCCTCAAACGCTTTGCGTATTGTTCAGATTGCTTAACAAGAGAACACTCAATCTTGTGTTTTTTTATTCATTAAATATTCACCTCCTTTCACAAAATTGCAATGAGAGATTTGAAGCCTGCCAATAAGAATCTCAAATCTTTGTTTTATTGTTCAAACTTACAATCCATTCCCCATGAAATGATCACTGCCACAATTTCACTCGACTCGGATCCCTTCAAACTCAATTAAGAAAAACACAGATCTTATGTGAAATTCATTCTTTGAAAATCAAGATTACCCCACCATATATTCTTTTTTGCACAAAACCATCATAACCCCTATTTTGTTTGAACTTTTTCAATGTCAGAGAACCAATAACAAGAACAAGGAATTGATCCATATATCCTCACCAAACCCTAGCAGTACTCAAAGTAAATGGTGAAAAAAAACAGGAAATTACAGAGCAAAATTTGTCTTCGAAACTTCAACGTAGCAAATTGAATGCAAAATAAATCAAATATTCCAGCTTTTATCACTAACCTCTTTAAATGTAATTTGAGGCAAATTAGGGTTTCCCAATTCAGAATTGAGAAACGGACGGGCAGCGCGGCGGTCGGACGGGTGGCGGCGCGTCGATTGGATGTTGACCGGCGATGGAGCGTAGAAAACGAAAATACGCGAGACTGCGACTGGATTGGGTGTGGAAGAGGCGCAGGGGAAGTTTGTGGAAATCATGGGCTGTTTCTGATGCGGAGTATTTAATTAAAGTGGGCTTGTTTCCTTATGCTGAATTGAAGTTGGATAACCGGCCCAAAATAATTGAATCTGGGCTTGAGGTTATGTGTTTGCAGTTTTTAAAATAATATTCTTCTATCACTATTTGTAAAGATAATTTCCTTTTTAAACTACCCATTCAAAAAAATACCGCTCTTTTTTTTTATTTATTAAAGTTTTTAATTGGTGTGCACATAAGCAAATATTTCTTGTTTAATATGAGTGGAATTTTTTATTTAGTTTTTAAATTTAGAAATTCTATTTTTACATTTTAATTCAATATTCATACTCTTTCCCTCGTGAAAGAATGTTTCTTTTTAACTAAAAAAGTCAAAAGTGAACAAGTAATCAAGAATGAAAAAAGTGAGTTTGATGGATCTTGTAATCCACTACCCATTTACACCACCCATTTTTATCCAATGGTACCATTGACTGAAAAAACAATCAATGAGAAGAGATGAAGACCAACACTCATTTTTTAGTTAAATTATTCTTCCTTTGAAAGATATTGTGTGATCCATATTATTTCCTCTTTCTTTATACAAATCAGAATTCTACGAGTTTTAATTTATTAAAAATCGTGAGAATATAATGTAAAAAAGATAATTATGAAATACACAGATAAAGCATCACTTAAGATGACCATGATGATTGTGATGATAAAAATGTTGATAATTCAAAAGGCCTAAAGACCTACTAATACAGAGTAAATCTCAATGTATTTCCACCTTTAATCATGAACTTTGATTTTTCTCAGCTTTCGTTTTCAAATTAAAAGTACTTTAATTGCCGTCCTAATTACGCCACTTTGTGATTATTTTATAAAATTTAATCCCTAAGTCATTGAAGATTTTTTGGCCTAAAGAATGAAGTACAGGGGGGCACAAAAGAAAATTACCCAACAATCCTTGGGATTCAATCAGCAAGAAAAATACAAGAGGGCAAAGTGAAAAATGTTGAGTTTGAAATGGATTCCAAAAGGCAATTTTACAACATGAAAACAAGAATTTCCTATCACAACTATGGATTAAACTATTTGCACACCAAAAAAGTGCACGCCAAATTTACACCGCTTTTTTTGCACTTCAGACACAACTCATATGTGTGGCACATACGAATACTTGTATGTGAAGTACAAAAAATAGGGTCGTGTACACTTGGGGAACACTTTTGGTGTACAGAAGCATGATCCTCAAGCGCAAACCGACAAAAACATCAGCCGATATTTGGTCTGCACCGAGACAATGAAACTATACCAAGTCCTCATCGTCTTCCAAAGCGCTGTATATTACCCTGTGCAAAGAACACAAGAAAGATATTGTAAGAGACCCACACAAAATACTACAAAGAAAATTGACTTAGAGGGTGTTTGGCAGTGCGGTGCTCTTGAGAATTTAACTTCTGCTCTGAGTCGTAGTCTTTTACTCTGTCAGGCATGTCAACTTCTGTATTTTTTTCCAACACTATTTCGCACATAGAACACCATTTTGGAGAAGTAGAGATATGGTGCTTCTATTTTCAGCGAATGTGAAAATCACTTTTATCATCAAGTTAATCGCGCTCCCAAACACCCTCTTAATGTAGTGATCTTTAAGTATGGTAGGCAATCAACGATAATAATATTTGGAAAGCAAGTAATTTGCGACATGAACTACGTTAGATTTTTGAACTTTGGACTTTTGGCAGAAACTTATCAATATGTGTTTTAAAAATTCGGGGCCCTAAAAACCAGGAGCCCGAGGCACATGCCTAGTTCGTCTAGTCCTAGAGATGGCTATGAGTCGTATATATGTTGTCACTCACATGAATAAGGATATGAAGAGCATGATAATGAGATATCCAAGCTTCCAAAGCCTCCGTTTCTTCTCATAATTTAGTTGATTGAAAATCTCAGTTACATCTACCAAATGTTGTCTTCCGAGGTACCTATCATGACAAAGGGGCATTGGAATCATGGAGTTTAATGATGAATAGAAGAAGAACAGATAAGCATATACATTCATTAGGTAATGTACTTAATGCTAGTTAGGTAGACGAAAGTGCCTTACTTTGCTTATATATCAAACAAACAGTACACTAACAAAGAAATGGAATGAGTAGTTTTCGACTTACTTATTTGATCGAAATGGATTCTACCAAACACTTTTCCTTTCAGAAAAAATCATTATATTAAGCCAGATCGTAATCAGCCAAATAAACAGGCTTTAAATATTCAGGTTTATGGATCCCAGCAATTCCATTATCTAATTCATTATTTCCTGATTTAAAAGTTCATCAGTATGATTCTAAACATCTGGTTCATACAAGTACAACCTTAAATCAAACTACAACCCAGTTCAACTTTTGATTTAACTGAGGCATTGAATGAAAGCATGAGGACTACGATACCACTTTAAAGAAGAAGATGAGGTGTACATTATAGTTCGACAAAACAGTCTATCAACTCTTCCCTTAAAAATGAAGGAGGGAGAAGCTCTTCTATTTCTTTGTGCATCAAAGATATCATAAAGCTCAACCTTAAAAACTTGATGAAACAAGATGAGAAAATATGAAAGTTTAAGTTGATTTAACTTCATTCTAACAAGAGAAAAGGCATATGTCATTCAAGACTGGTCGGCCAATGATCCACCATCTTGCTGCCTATGTTAAGTCATTGGTCGAATATAAAAATGTAAAGTAAAATATAAATGATTGGACATCACATATCAAGTTGACATTTTAGGATGGAACGCCAACTATTAACAAGGTGCGGCAAAATAGAACTATATAAGACGATAATCATGGCATGATAATTATGACATTTAAGAGCACTTGCACTTGAAAATAATTGTGTTTTATTAAAACTTACAATGTCACATTGTAGTATAAATATGGAGCACATAGAAGTGCAGCAAACCAGTGCCCCGTCACAAGATAGATGAAAGATAAAACTCCATGTATGATGAACTCCGGGAGGATAACTTTATTTATCCTTGAGGCAGAGTCATATGGGTTGATATAGTCAAATTCTAGATCAGCCAGGCACATAAGCTGGGCAAAAAAAAAGAATAACGTTATATTTAGTACAAGCACATAGCATATAGCAAAAAGATACTCCCTCCATCCAATAAATTATTCAAAAAAGATAATATCTTTTAATTTCTTAAAACTCGTGAAATCTCTTTTTATAATTTCTACATATTTCCGTTTACAGACACTCAAAATGTATATCGTCCATCGCCAAGGGAGCCAAACAACTCATAATCAGCAAGTTTTTAGCTTTGGGTAAATAATAGACCAACCCAAAATGTCACATTAAACGTCCATTGCTTCTTTCTTTCTATGAAATTTTAGACCGTAAATGCACCAATGGATCAAAGGTCTAATGGAAACAGTCTCTCTATTTTTGCACTGGTAAGGTTGCGTACATCTAAACTCGCAGACCCAATAAAGTTGGGATTACACTGGGTTCGTTGTTGTTGTAGTTGGGTTTTCCAATTGTGCGTTTTCCGCATAGGGTCTTTCTAAATATGGGAATTCCGTGTATGGGTTCTCATAACGTGAAATAATAGAGCAGATCAAAATATCACGTTAGACTTCATTTGATTCTTCATTTGTTCTTGTAACATTAATGAAAAAGGTAACTTCTTTTGGTAATAGCTTCTCTTTATTAAGCAAAGATTTAGACTTTAATTATGTTCCTGTTTGGTAAAACAGATCATTAGCAATGATGATTGGGGTTATTGATAATGGATAGTTCATAACCTGTCCCAACTAATGAATTATTACTATAATTACCTTAAATCACCTGAATGCGTTGTCCAGAGTGGATAATTTTACAGATAGTCTCAGTAATTATTCAACCAAGTTTAATTACCAATAATATGAACACATTAAATGCACCCGTACAAGAAAGAAAGAAAGAAATTTGCCGCAGTGAAATCAAAAAAAAAAAGGCGAGGGTAATTAGGGATTTAGTGGGATTTACCTGGAAAACGACCAAGACAACAAGAGAAACGAGAATGAAGAAGGAGAGCAGCCATGCCCACACATCTGCCATTCTGGCGGCGGCGGCGACGCCGGAATAACAAGAAAACGAGGATCGAGACGCCGGAAAAGGGCTTTTTAATTTCGAGTTGCAGTTGATTTTGTTGGAAGCAAGGGATCGATTCGGCAGGGAATCGGGAGAAAGCAGAGTTGTGGACACCCTAGCTGCCCTTCTTCCTAGTTCGTATAAAGATCAAAATTTATCTGTATCCTATTCCTTACTACGGAAATAAAGTTCTGTATTTTGGATAAAATTTTAATAATGTAGATTATTATTAAAAATGCTAATACTAAATATTGTTTGTACATAATTTTTTCAAAACGCTAACACTAATCTCTAATGCTTTTCCTAAACAGACCCTATAATAACTAATTATTGATTCAAAGGAAATGAATTTTGAGCTCTAGTTTAAAAAATATGATAATATTTAATAGTTTAAAAATGATTTTACCGAATTTATCTTGTTGAAGTCTTTCAAAATTTTATTATTGTACAAATATCTAATATAGATTAAAAATAATTGAAGTTCAAAATTTGTCCAGTGTGACTCGAAAAAATCAAACTGAGCAGATGGAACTAATGTACGAAGTATTATATTTTGTATATATTAGTGAAATTTGCACTAAATAGTACTAAAATGAGTATGACATTTTCCAATGCAATACTTAACCTATTTTATTCTCTAAATAGTATTTGAATAATGTCTACTGACGCAAACAATGTCCAGTGATGGTGGACATTTAATTTAAACAGTGTCCAGTGCCAGTGGACATTTAGTTTGGACAATGACCAGTGATACTATATTGGAAAATAAAAACATATGACACTACATTGAAAAGTCACTATGCTTTAGTACTACTCCCTCCGTCCCGAAGTATTCGTCCAGTTTTGACTTTTGAAACTGTTCATCTAAGCACTTTGACTCATCAAATTCTCTCAATGTGTAAGCCTAAATATAGTCATGTGTGATCTTGTTTGATTTGTCTTAACATATAGATTATTAATATATAATTTCTATAATTTTTTAATATACAAATTACAAGATAAAATGGATTAAAGAAGTGTATTGGATGGTGTGTAAAAATGAAAGTGGACAAATATTCTGAGACGGAGGTAGTATGTTTTATCTTTGATTTTGAAGACCTTTGATATACTGTACTTTTTAAATATATGATTTTTTTTTAATTCAACACCAATCCAAAAGTAAAGATTATAAAATTAGTATTTTCTCGTAAATCCCTCCGTGAATTTTACTTGAGAATGAGTATTTATTTTTATTTATTCATTTATTAATGTATACAATAAATATTTAATTTTTTATTTATTCAAAAATTACATGCAAGGATAAATAGTAAAAAGTATTTACTTTTGTTAAATATTCTTTCCAAACAAATCTTAAATGCACTCTATGTATGTTATTGATTTTTTTCTTTGTTTTCCGATGTGAGAACTCCAACAACATTCTTTCCAAACAAAGCTTAAATACACTATGACACATGACACACATCCACGCCTAATAACTAGGAAAAACAAAACCCGCAAGACAAGTAAAATTGCATTTTTGCCCATCAATGATGATTGTATAAAAATTGAGTGTATGAATGAAAACAAACTTTGAGAATCTTAAACCACAAAATAATTTTAATATAAAGAAAATTGTACTCATTATGTGATTGAGAAAAATTGAACAAGGCTAATATAACTTATAAGGCTAATATTGTTGAACAAGCATAAGTTTAAATAATCGTTGAAGAGTTGCAAAAAAACATCTTTGGTGCAACTATAGTATTAGAAAACAAATTTTTAGAGAAAGTTTACACAACCTAATTGAATTATGTATTATTCCATTTAGGATAATGTTTGAAGTTTTAAAGAATACAATTTGCAATAGTTTATGTTTCTTATAATTATGAATAAAAGATAGGATCAGACATTGTAATTTATAAGATTAGTTTTTACCAAGTCGGTATTCATTTTGAAAGAATTAGCTTTAGACTACTTTGATAGTGTTTATAACATTATACAAAGATGTATACCTCAAAATTATTCAAAATGTTCTAATTTAAATAAGACTTTGACATGTTAATTTTCATATATATATATATATATATATATATATATATAAGAAATCTTTTAGAAAATATGATATATTTTGTCATTATTTTAACTTTTAAGGTCAATTTTTATTTTTTCTATTTTAAATATATCAAAGAAATTAAAAATTATAAAATTGATACAAAAATTCTGTTCAACCCGTGCGTGGCACGGGTCAAAGTACTAGTAACTAGGAAAAACAAAACCCGCAAGACAAGTAAAATACTTTTCTTTGAAACTAATAGGTCTATTATAATATAGTATCTATTCATAGATTCTCAACTTATTAAATACGTAAAGTTATTATCCCCACTGGAGACGGAATCTACATTCTCAACTACATGGTCTTTTGCAATAAAATACTACATGATGTGGCGTATTGTTAATAAATGCTACCGAAAGGTGTACCCCATTTGTCCCCCACCCCCTCCTTGTCCACATAAATGGACAAGAGACTAAAAAAATTAAATAAATAAAAATAAAATAAAAATGAGTGGTGGAGAAAGGGGTGGGGGACAAATGGGTACACCTTTTGTGTACCCCTAGCATTGCTCTTAATAAATTCATAAATTAACCTGCTCAGTGTTGTCACATTTTTGCATAAATTGTTTTTTGAACCCAGATAACATACACTAGCACAACCATTAAAGAAAAAAAATTACCGGTGGGTGTTACGCAGTTCGCAAAGACAGAGAGTATCAAAGGGTAGACCCGAGTTTGAATCCTAGCAACTAAACTTGGAGACAATTATGCTAAATATAGAATCTCTACAAGTACTAAATACAAGCTTTATCCCTTAAATGACCTTCGGGAATGGGGCTCATTCTTTTTTATTCAAGAAAAAAAAATTGAATATCAATTATAGTTGCAAATTTGGCAATGTTCAAACCAATTATATATCCATGAGTCAAATCAAATATTCAAAGCAGAAAACTAGACAACAAATGTTATTATTTGAAAGTTTTATTTTTCACTTTCTCTACTCTTTTTTCTATGGTACAACAAAATTTATACAAGTACTATGGTCACAAAGGGAATACAATAATATGCTCACAAGAGCACATGGTTGAGAGGTGGGTGTCAAAAGGGTAAACTCAGAATCGGTTCCTGACAACAACGATGAAGAATGACCATATTCTAGATAAAGTTTCCTTTCCACCATTACAACTTCATTTACCTCTTTGGGTTTAAGGGACTGTTTGGCAACTTCTGAATTGGTAAATGCTGAACCAGTAAGAGGTCTGAACCATTAAGTGTTGAACCAGTAAGAGGTCTGAACCATTAAGAGCTAGTATATTGCTTAACTATCCAGGGGCAAATGTCTGATCAATTCAGATAAGAGGTCTTAACCATTCAGACTCTGTATAATACTTAACCATTCAGAGGCAAATGTCTGAATCATTCAGACATTTGCTCACGAAACAAACAGTCTGAACCATTAAGTGCTGAACCATTCAGACATCACCATTAAAAGACTGAAACAAACAGACCCTAACTTTTCTTACAAAGGGAATATAGTTATGAATTTACTATTTGCCTTTGGGTCCTTGCACCAATGGATGTGATTATCTTCTCTGCACTCCATCATTTAATTTTGGACATAAAAAGAAGTTTCTAGACTCCAAGTTCATCAACTTTTCTTCCTCTCTTAACCCTGCAACCAATCACCACAAACATAAACATATAATACACCAAAAGCTTGTTTGGTGGAGTAAATACTACAGTTGTTGAAATGGTTAAGTGAGATAAAATTTACTCCCTTCAAAGTTAATCTTTCTCGCAAATTTAATTTGTGAATTTACATTAAATAGGACTAAAACATAAATTATTTCCCAATATAAGACTTAAATTTTTTTATTTCCTAAATAGTATTTAATAATATCTAATGGAAGAAATAATATCCAGTGATGGTAGATATTTACTTGAATAATGACTAATAGATAATGACCAATGATCCTATATTAGAAATAAAAACACATAGTCCTATATTGAGAATATTATTACTCGGTATGTTTTAGTCTTATTTATGTAAATTCTCCATTTTAAAACTCAATTTTAGTACTTTTAAATACGGAGTATTATCTAATGAAAATATTTGATTTTAATATTTTTAAAATTAATCTACATTTTTTTTAAAAAAAATTATTGGACGTATCTACTTACTTTGGAGATTAAATTGAGAATAATGAAGCTCATAGCAGGCAGGGTTAGGGCTAGGCAACAACGGCCGCCGCTTCTCCTTAGCGTACAACTCAACCGCCTCCTTGATTAAATCTCCGACGGTGTTTTCCGGCGAGAGCACCACCCTGATCGGCCCAAGACCGTTCTGAACATTCACATTCAGCAACAGCTTGGTGAGCTTCTGCAGTCCCCTGATTCCGCCGCGGTTCGCCGCCGGAGCATCCACGATTCCACCGCGGGCTGTCAACGGAGACGTCATCGTCGCCGTGGCGGCGATCTGCTACGGTGTGGTGGATGAGGCCATTGGAGGTCGCAATTTGCGCATTTTTGGGGAGAGTGGATTGGATGGATCTCGGGGCGGGTTCGTATTTGTACGGCTGCGAGGGCGAGAAGGTTCCGGGAAATTACAATTCTTGTCCCCTTCTTCCAGATCGATCTGCAGGGGCCGGCCGTTTGGTTTGATGTAACGACGGCAAATCCCCCAAATACTAGGATGGATCTTTGGGGCCATCGCCCCACATCAAAATCCTGTGCTCCCCATCCTTCATCACAATTGGCTATTTACCTCAAATTTGACATATTCTTTCACATTTACTTTTTTTTTTTTTTTTGTGAAAGTTTGTAAATTTTGACTTCAATTTGTGTAAAAAATACATCGTATTATGATATAAATTTAATATCGATATATTTCTAACGAAACTTAGTTTTGAAATATCAAATTTTTATAAAATTTCTCTATGTATAAATATAGTTTTTAATGGTCAAACTACAATATTGAAGATTGCGAAAAGTCACATGGAAAACATATTTTTGAATGAGGAGATTATTTGAATTTAACTAGTGTCAAGAGTATTAATGTCTTAAGCTTGGTCTCCATGTACTCAACCTCATATATGTACGATGCCTAAATATAAGATTTAATTAGTGCCTCCTCACTTAGATTTAAGATTTTAATTAGTACAATATTTTATACGTATTAATTTTGATAGATATATTTAAAATATCTTTGCATGATGAGTTTCTTTTTTTACAACCAAAGCAATACCAAGTACATAGTACTTTAAAAAAATATACTCGAAGACTCCCACAAATCTTGTTACGTCTCAATAAGGTGAGCAAGCATGTGTGCCAAAGGATTGCAATTTGCAAGTACCGCAAACAAACGAAACATGCATTTCATCAAAAGAATGCATAAAAACTTGATGGAGATCGTGTCAATGGATATTGGGCCAGTCTATGAGAGAAGCCATTAGATCATAAAATCACTAACCTTGGTGTTTCTTATTCTACGACAAGTAAAGATTGTGAGCAAAGGAGAGGAGAGAGCCAAATTAGATCTACATCTACACACATACTATTCATTATCTCCTTCATAGAGCTTCAAGTTCTATTAATGCCCGTCGAGCCACGTCTTGTACCAATACTCCTATGATCTACAATAAAGCACCCCTTTAAATAGTACTCTCGAAAAAACATGTAGTTTTACGATTTGGGTTTCTACGTGTATATTGTATTTCTATATTATTTATTATATTTATTATCTAATATTATATATAAGTTGGTGTTTAACTTAACCTAGCTCTTGAAATCATAGCTTCTTCTTCACTTTCTTCTTTGAATTTGGGGTAAGTTGTTTGTGATGTCAATAGTGATGATGACTTATGATGATGAAAGAGAAGAGTAAGATTTATGGTATTTATAGTCTTACTTACCTTATCATTTTCTTGGAAAGAAGAAAGAGATGTAGAGGATTGAGGAGTGAGATGATGATGATGATGATAAAGTGAATCAGTGTAAATTAAAGGGTGAGGTCCAGAAAAGGGATATGGGTCATTGTATATTTTTACCGCTCCTGAGAGATGCCCTTTCATGGTCTTCTCTAATTTAATTAACGTGTCTCCAATAATTTCTAACTTTTGTAAAAAAAAATGAAGCTCTAAATGTTTACGTTTTTTAGATCAGAATTAAACTCAGTTTAACCCTACTCTCATTCTCCTCTCTTCTCTTGGAACTGGACGACTGTTACCAGCATGGTAACATACATTTGATATGGGAATTGAGTTTGTTTTCCTAATATGTATCATTCATTCAAATCTTGAGTATCGATTAGAGCTTTTATTCAATGTCGAAGTTTCCTCTTCTCTTTAGATTGTCCTACTGACCTAGGGTGTGTGTTTGTTATGTGCACATAGGGTCAAAAAATTTATAGATACAAATATTTGTCAACCTTATACTTTAAATGTGTGCTTGATGTGTGCAATCTGAGGATCCTAAAACCATAAATGTTAGTCTTTGTCAAGCATATAGTGTAAATGTGGTAGATACTAACCTTCAAAGAGATGTACCCACACGAAAATATTGAGTACAATGCAAAGAGATGTGGTGACCGATGTACTTGTAATTCTTGAGAAACCGTTTCGCGCATAGACTCGATCATACTTATGTTGCCCAGTGCCCACTTGCCCTAAGTGAAAAAGTTTAATCCAGCTGACACTATTGAGGATTACAAACAAACATATTAGGTGTTGCAAAATTGTTATAAAATGGTTATAAAAGTAATTTATAATTAGCTTAGAGCACACATGTCAAGGGAAATCACTAAAAAAGATTCAACTCCCAATTTGACAAAAACAGACTAATAGTGTCAGCTATCTTATTTAATTTTCAAAATGAATAATGTTACTTTTGTTAAGGATCATCAAATGACAAACAACATCATGATTCTTTGCATGTCTTTAATGATATCAATTCTAACTCGTTTAATAAACTTAACACAAAGAAGGCATGGGATTAGGGTAAACTGTTGTTTTGAATATTTTCTTCAAGTCATTATACTTCTCATGAGGTTTAAAGCAGGAGGGTTGAACTTGTTTTGAATTGTACTCCATCAATTAGGCTACCTTCTCACTTTTAGTGAACGAAAAGCATACTAGATATTTCGTGTCAAGTCAAGATATCTGAAAAACCTCAAAGGTGATCCAATTTCACAATTCATGTTTATGTTTTTCTGAAGGTCTTACAACTTCCCTTGGAAGGGCACACACTTTCCTTTTCAAGGTCCTAAAATCTAAATAGTGATAAAGTTTTATCAAACTGCATAAAAAAGATATACGTGCGTATTCTGCGCTCACCAAACACAATTGGAATGTAGTCCCATCTCTCCCACAAAGATTTACACTTTTTTGTGGAGTACTATTTAAAAGTTATGAGAATTTTTGTTTATTTATGTGTTTTTATTGATTATTTGATGAAATTAAATATTTTTTTTGCATCTTATTTTGTAGAACTTTTCATATATTTTTAAAATATGATTTTTTTAAATTTCTATATCAATCTTTAAATAAATTAAATTAAGGTTTTAATTTGTTTTAGTAAAATGCAATTTATTTAGAGAGGGAAGAAGTACAATGTATTTGATCAAGACCTTATAAGAACGTTTTCAATTAGTGTTAGCGTTTTAAATAAAATATTAACGGTGTAGATTAATTTAAAAAATACTAACACTAAAAACTACTATCAGATAGCATTTTCAAAATACTAACACAAATCTCTAATGGTGATTGGAAACGGGACTCAAATTCCTTTATTCCTTTATAACTAATGCTAGTACCGCGAATGCAGCTCCATTGTTCGACCAAGTCAAAGAGTCATGGAGACCAGCCCATAACCCAGATTCTACTTGGGCCAATTTCGCTTTCTTTTTATCCGTTTCGAACTTTAGATGTTTTATTTTGCAACTACTCCGTATTTTATCACGACCTTTGTTGGAATTTCATTGTTTTATTTTTCTTTTTTGTTATTTCAAAATCAGTTTTTCATTTTTCACACTCAACAAAAAAAATCAAGATTAATAATCTAAAATATGTATGAATAATATTGATGTGAATATAATGAATGGTGAGCTTTTTTGAAAGGACTTAAGGAGATTTTTGATTTTATGTCTAAATACATTCGTTATCATGTTATCCGTAATAAAACGGTACCATGTCATATGAAAGTCAAATATATCATAATACTTTAATGTTTTGAAAGTATTTTTATTCATAACACGCGATCGACGTACAAAAAAAGTGGTGTACCATTTTTTAAGTATTCCTACTCAACGCATGTATTGTTTAGTTATAATCTTTGACAAAACATATTTTTTTAGATGACTCATACTTAAAATTAAATCAATTCTGAAATGCAATTTGGAGGTCCAACAATCCACTCTCCCTAGCTTTGTAAGGAATGAGATGTGTTCATGCTAACACATGCACAACCTCATTAGCAGAGCGACAAAATATAATTGTGGTTTGATTTTTCAAGAAATAAAATTATAATTTAATTTGAGTTGTACTGCGAGGTAATAAATTAATATAAAAATTAAAGTTTGACTATGTTAAGGTCACACCAAATAAAATGGCTTAAAATTTATTAAAAATAACAAATAAAAATTTTTATAATTACTATAACATTTTAGTGATAACGATTCGGTTCACTATTTGCAACTTTATTAAATAGAAACCGGTCCATTTGAAAACCCGTTTTTTTTTTAAATTCGGTAACAAGTCGACCCACTTTAAAATAACGTGGGATTGTATTTTTGCCCATCCTTAAACTATTTTACGGAATAATTTTCACACGTTTATTAGGTGCGGTGTGGGGGAGGGGGGTGAAATGAAGCAAGTGATTGGGGGCTCCAAGTAAAAAGAACAGTAGCAGGCGAACTAACGGCACCGTGAGTCCGTGACGGAGGTAGCAGAAGGTTCCGTTAATAACAAACGCTCAAAAAAAAAAACGGAGTACTCCCTATTCTCCCCATCCTATCATTAGTTGAAGTTACTTTCTATATTGGGAGATGCTAGGGGTACTAGGGGTGAGCAATTTAACCGAACCGACCGATCAACCGATACAATTTAACCGAACCGACCGTAATTTTAAAATCGGTTTCGGTTTTCGATTTTAATATAAAAAATATTCGGATAATTCGGTTTTCGGTTTCGGTTTCGGTTTTGGGCAATGTTAACCGAAACTGACCGAATAACCGAGCCCAAAATATGTGTATTAATTATTTTAAACATATATAAGCCCAGACCAAATCTTTTAGTTACAGCCCACTTAAAAAGCCCAATTCCCAGCCCTTCTCCCAACCCAATTCCCAACCCGTCTCCCAAATCCAAGACGGCACGGCAGAAAGTCCCAAATCCCACCCTGTGTCGTTCTCTGGTTCTCGTCTTCTCGGTCCTCACCAATCGGCAATCACCATCTCCCATTCTCCCAGTTCCTGCGTTCTCAAACTGACGCCATTCACGCCAAGATCTAATCGGCAATCACCATCTCTGTTCCGGCGTCTCTAATCGGCAACCATTCACCAGGTTTACAATT